AAAAGGGAGAAACTACAAGGTAACAGAGACATGAGGGCTCCCTGAGATGTCGGCGCCCCTAAGCTCCACCGTCAGCAAACGCGAGTGAACGCGTGAGAGCAGCGGGACGACAGCACCAACACTCCCAGTTTACCATAAAACTCTATGTCCATGAACCCCAGATCTGCACCTTTTATATGACAGGCAAAACTAATTACCAAAGGCTTGACTAAACAAGTAAGTTTTTAGCCTAGACTTAAACACTGAGAGTCCCGAACACTGACTGAGAGTTTATTCCAAAGCTGGGGGGCTTTGTATGAGAAGGCTCTAACCCCTGATGTTACTTTATTAATTCTAGGTACTAACAGTAAGCCAGCACCTTGTGATCTAAGTAGGTGCGATGGTTCATAGTAGGCAAGGAGTTCACTCAGGTACTGAGGGGCGAGTCCGTTTAGAGCTTTAGAGGTCAGTAAGAGAATTTTGTAATCGATCCGTCATCATTTATTCGAAAAACGCTTTTTCACATTTTGGCTTTAGTGATATTCTAACATTTCCACCTCGTCCTAGGTCAGGGGTCGGCAACATGTGGCTCCGGAGCCACATGCGGCTCTTTTGCTGCCCTGTTGCGGCTTCGGAGCAGAAGTTGATTATTAGGTAAAAATAAAATAATCCTCCTTTGCAGTAAAATGAAGCTCTGCTGATTGTTTAACCCTGAAGGAGAAGAGAAAGAATTAAAATGAACATTGATAATTTGGAGACAAATGGACTTACTTGCGATATAATCACTCCAGCTAGTTTCCTGATACATTTAATCTGCAACGAGAAACTGTCAAACACTAAACAGTCGCGAAGCTGAAGTCATCCATTCCACCTTAAATGGTGCAGCAGACTGAGATTTAAGGTAGAATGGGAGAATTTGAACAAGAAGCTGTGAATGAGAAGCTGACTTCAGCCTTGTAAAAAGTCAAACGTTGAGAGACATTTTACAAGAAACTGTTCTACTTTGAAGAAAAGTTTCCTGCCGGAGATGTGAGAAAAGCGGCTACAGCTGAGCTAAAGTTTAAAGCAGAGCAAAGTAAGTCTGTGCTTTTGTTTATATTTTTTTAGGCTATGCTAGTACATTAGCACACACTAAGACATATTTACAGCCAAAATGATAAAATAGATGTAAAATGTTGTGGCTCCCGAGGCGGTTTGATTTTGAAAATGGCTCTTCTTAAAATTTTGGTTCCAGACACCTGTTCTAGTGTAAAGCTCTTCTTCGATATTTGGGTGTTTTTCAGATTTTTGACTTTTCTCAAAATTTGCAAAAAAAAAAAAAAAACAAAAAAAAGTGTTGGATGGAAAACCTAGTGTGTGATGATAACCCTGAACTGAATGAGACAAGCTGAGCTCACCAGAGTAGGTAGCTAATTGGTGTTCCAACTTCAAGTCAATCACTGTTGAGCAGTTACAGTGAAAATGACTGTTTTTCTTTTTTTTTCTTTTGAATTTCCCTCTAATTCCATTGATTGTCTTGAACAAAGTTCAAGTGTAAGTATGTAAATGTGGGCAATGGATTTAAAAAATTAACAAATGTGTATTATTATTACATGTATTGAGGTTATTGGTTTGCCATGTTCTACCTGAAATTAAAAGCCTGGTGACTGAGGTTACCTGTAGCGTAATCTGTCATGCCAGTACTTGAGTTGATCCTTGTCGATGTTGTTCTCCACTTCCTGCATTTTACCCTTATCAGGTAGAACAATCATCATGGAAGTGTTGCTTTTGTAAGGAACCATGATGATCGAAGTGAAATTGTTATAGTCACGGTAGGTACTGTAACGACTAGTTCTTGCCATCATGTCCACAGACACCTTGGTGTTCTCATCCACATGGAAGTCAGCTTTGTGGGTGTGTTCCACTTCAAAAGGCTTTTCCCATTTACCTTAGAGGGCAGAATTCAAAGCTTGTTACTGCAATTAATCATAAAACATGATTTAAGTGATAGATATCCACTTCTGATTAAATGTTTAGGTGCCTACTGTACCTCTGAAATATATGAAGTTGATGAGCATCATCATAGTGTCCTGGTCCAGGTCCTTGACCACATCAGTGATCATATTTCTGGTCTTTTTGGCGATGTACTTGTTGACTTCTTGCACAGCGACTTCAGGTTTGGAGAAGTCCAGACTGAAGGCCTCTCCTTGGTAGTAATGCTGAGCATCCTTTAGAAACTTGTCTACAGCTTTGAAGCCTTCTCGGATGGCTACAGCACTTCCTGCCTCCAGCAGCGTGGCGTCCTGGCTGTGACCCAGCATGTGGAATATGTGCTCATTAGCTTCATTGACCTGATCGGGAGTGAGGGCACTGTAGCCCAGGGCGCTGAAGATCTGTGAGTGGGTTTCACCTTTGGCTCCCAGGGCCAGCATGGACAGAGCCATGGAGATGCTCAGTGGAGAGAAGAAGATGTTCTTGCCTTTGGATTCTGAATGAGCTGCCAGCTTCTTGTAGAGGGAGAAGGCAAAGTCAGCATTGTGGAGGGAGAGTCTGTCGCTTAAGTCATCATCTCCATCGTGGCTGGGGTGAGGTTCATCCTTGCCATGGTGGAGATGTTGATGGTGATCTACTGAGTGATCTTCATGATCATGACCTGCTTGAGGGGCAGCGCAGACCACTACCAGCAGGATGGAAATCAGGAAACAGCAGTGGATCCTTCCTGACATTTTATCACCTGAACAGAGAGCATGGCTATTACAAGTGATAATTAAGGAAAACGTATTTTTTAAAAGCCAAGAGCCAGTTTCAACTGCAGTGGTCCAAGGACCTCCCTGCCATCTCCCCACGCCTATAAGGCACTGCACTGGTCCACCATGCTGAACCTTGCAGGTAGTGGTCCCACATGGTACCCCCTCGTTGCCTTTTTAAAGTCAAAGTCAAAGTGAACTTTATTTATTTAGCTGAACGAGATTGTTTTGCTCCAGTGCAAATATATATCATAAATGTAACATAAAGGCAAATGCACATAGACATACTAGACAGCAAATATATGTATGGTGGCTTCTCTAGCCATCTCTCCTGGGGTGAGAACCACAACTGGAGCCGCTCCAGTTCCTGCTCCCTGAGCATCTACTGCTGGCCTCCCAGTGCCCCTCTCCAGCACCGGCCTCCCAGCATCCTGCTCCAGCGCCAGCCTTCCAGCATCCTGCTCCAGTATCGGCTCCACGCCATATTCCATCCTTTTCCAGTCCCTGCTCAGCCCCCTTTTTTAGTTCCCCGCTCAGCTAGCCACTCAGCAACCATTCCAGTTCCCTGCCCAGTCTGACATTCATAATTCTGTGTTTTCCCCCTGTGTCTGTCCAGTCTCCAGTCCCTAGTTTTGTTTTAGTACCTGTTACTGTGTATGTGTCCATATCTGTCATCATCACTGTACCTGTTACTGTGTCTGGTCTTTTTGTATCCATTTCTATCAGTGTCTCTGTCCCTACCCCAGTAACTATATCTGTCCCTGTGTCCATGTTAGTTCTGTCTCCTGTCCAGCCTCCCATCCAGTCTTTTGTCCAGCCTCCTACCCAGTCTACTGTCCAGTCCCCTTTCTGTTCCCCTGTCCAGCCCTTTGTCTCCTGTCTTCTCATCTGTTCGTCCCGTCGGGTCTCATGTCTGTCCCACAGTTCAGTTTCCTATTCCGTCCCTTTAGTTCAGTGTCCTTTTTCCAGCCTCTCCTCTGAGCCAGTTCGATTGGGGTGCTCCATTCTGCGCCTTGGGAGCTGTGCGTCAGAGGAGGGGCTTATGTATGTCTTCTTCTGTCTTTGTCTTTCTTTGTTTATAGCCTTAGTTTTCTTGTTTCCCAGTGCCACGTGCCTTTGTTTTCTTATTTGACGTGCCTTTGTTGTTTTGGTCTGTCTCCTCCCTGGTTCTGCTCCCTTGTCATCTGCTCTGCTCTCCTGTCTGTATTGACCCCTGCCTGCTATGACAATGAGTATCAGAATGTCCTTAATAGTCACTTGCAACCTGTCTCAGCCCCTACATTATTTTTTTTTTCTTTTTTCCCAAATACATTAGGTTCTGTAAATAAATAGTAATTGTGTATTATGTGCAGAAGTGTGTGTCTGTCTGTAGAGAATGTGTAACTTGCACAAAAGCAAAAAACAGGGAATTTGACCAGGGGTGTGCAAACATTTGCATAAAACTGTAGCTATTTCTATATCTTCAAAATAACTTACAAGAGAAGAAATCGTAACATTCAATATACACTGTAAAATGGCTCATCAGATTAACCAAAAAAAATTACTTTATGTAGTAACAAGCAACTGAACTAGTTTTATGCAACTCAAAAAATTACATTGAAAGAATCATTCAAAGAATTTATTTACATTGAATAAAACTAGTTAATGTACCTGTTACCACATTAGATAGATAGATAGATAGATAGATAGATAGATACTTTATTGATCCCGAAGGAAATGTAGCTAATAATAAGTAATTTTTTAGGTAGAACTGACGAGCCATTTTTACAGTGTGAGTTAATGATATTTTGGACTGTTTATGTTGGCCAGTTTGTCATGAAAATGTAAACACTGTGAGGTGACATTTTCAAATTTCAAAATGTTTTATTCCACACCACAGATTACATACATCTTACATGTAGTCAATATATCTCATTATGAGACTGTGGTGAGAATATTACAAGATTACTCAAACTATTATTGCTGTAAGTAATTGTATCCAGAGAAATAGATAATCATGTTTTTGGCCTCCATGCATTTTAAATTAAGTGATCCTTATTAGTCCCCCAATGGGGAAATTTCACGTCCCCATTTTGATCCATCCATGCTGTGAAACACCACATACACACTATTGAATGCACACACACACACACACACACACACTAGAGGGCAGTGAGCACACTTGCCCAGAGTGGTGGGCAGCCCTATCCGCAGCGCCTGGGGAGCAGTTGTTGGAGTTTAGGTGAATTGCTCAAGGGAACTTCAGTCATGTACTGTCAGTTCAGCCAATCGAACCAACGACCTTCCAGTCACAAGGCTGGTTCCCTAACCTCCAGCCCATGAGAGCCCCCTAAAAATGGAGGTGCACCGTGGCGCACACTCCTCTTCCATCTCCCTGTTCTAAAAATCAATTTAATATGTAGTCCTCGTATAGTTGACATATCAGATATTAAACTGATAAGAACAGATACTACACTTGATCTTGGGCAAAAGGCTGAGAAGCAATTTTAGCTACAAAGTGTGGAAAGCTTTTGTTATTCCCCGGGTTACAAGTTTACTCTCAAATGCAGCACTGGCCCCTCATCTCATGGTTTTATTCATGTTTATTCAGTCTCTGTTTGTTCATGGTTTTTCAAGTTTTGGATTTTAAATAATCTGACAAATGCATCTGGTTTCATTGTTTTACTATTATATTAATATTAGATAAATACCAATAAAAATAACTGACCAACAAAGTCTAGAATATCCAGTACTCACAAATGCTTGAGCTCTGTTTACTTTTTTGTACTGGCACCTTAAGCGTTTTATAATAGTTTAACTATTAAAGTTGAACTGAATAAGCAGACAAAGAATTGAAGTGCACATTTCTCCTTAGCGTAGGACAGCAGTAATGAGAAAAACTGATCTGTATTAGAGAGTATACTCGGTATAAGAGTGTGTACTCTGATATTCATTTCATAGTGCAAGTTTGCTAAATGACTAAATTCATTTTGCCAAAGTTAATAACCATATTAAAATCTAAAAATAAAAATTTGTATTTATAAAAAGCAGCAAAACACTTACTTACCATCAGAGTGATCTAAGCAGGGGATAATGTTGGGTGCAGAGTAAGAACTTACAAGTTAAATGTTACCATTTAAACATTAACCAGTTCCCATCCCCCTTTTCATTAGGCGGAGCACTCCTTTACATTCAGTTCTACTACATAAGGACTTGGTTTCATGAAAACCTTCTTAAAAACTTATAACGGATCTTAAGACAAACACTAAGAAGTTCATAAGAATTTTCTAAAAAGCACTTCTCATAAGTCTAACAAGTTCTCAAATACTCTGTTACAAAGTCCTATTTATTTTCATAAGAAAATCTTAATTGTTTACACTGTTAAAAAAAATAAGGTTCTTCAGGAAAGACAGTGAACCTCATTCTCTAATATTTTCCTCAGTTTGTTCTCAAATGAGTTCTTGAGAAAGGTCCTAAGAAAAAGTCTACGTCAGATTCATGACGTGTTCTTAAAGTGCAGAACTGTTCTCACCTTTGTGCTCTTGAGTGTGTGTAGATTCTGTTCTTACCTAAGAACAAATCCCAGATAAGAAAACATTGGTGAGTATCAGAATCATTGTGAAAACTGCGTAAGAAGAAATTTCTACCTTAGAACTGTTGGTGAATGAGGCCCAATGTTTCTCTATATAACCGTAAACATTCAAAGAAACATTTGCATGCTTAAATGGTTCTTTGCATGGTGAAAGTGTCCTTCAGATTGCTGAGCATGTGCTGTATATAGTTCTATATAACACTTTTTGAAAATGGTTCTATATAGCACCAAAACGTAGAGCACTTTTCAGTGCAATATAGAACCATATGCAGCATATTCTCCATCAATCTGAAGAGCCATTTGACCATGCAGAGAACACTTTAATTATGCGAATCGTTCTTTGAGTGTTCATTGTTCTGTAGAGAACTGCTGTCTTTCCTAAAGAACCCTTGAAGAACCATCTTTTTAAAGAGTGTAGTCTGTGAAATCTGAGGTAAATAATAAGTTGCATCCAGCAGCCAACAACGTTACACATAACAGTCTGTTTATATATATATATATATATATATATATATATATATATATATATATATATATATATATATATCAGTGAAATAAATTATATATTGCATATATCTGTGACTTTTATTTAACACATAAATCACAAAATTATTATTCTATAAAAGTTAGGGCGAGCTGCACACCATGTTCTTTAGTCTTCTTCTCTTTAGTGTTCAAAATTGTTGGTGATTAAATAAAACCTAGAAATTTTTCTTTTTTTTTGTCACCACCCCCAAAAAAAGTAAACAAAAAATGATGTTTGAACTAAACCATATCTCAAAAATCAAAGCCTAAACTGAACTGTGGATTTGGAGAATTGTAACACCCTGATTACTGACCTTGGTGATTTTGTTTACTTCAAATTAATGAACGCAAGAAACTAAATGAATAATTCAAGCGTTTGTCTGGCTTAGTTATAGCTGATATGGGAGGCTCAAATAGGTCCTTCTTACCATTCAGGAGCCTACATCTGATCATTATAATTTTACTATGTTTACATTCACACCAGTGGCTCGATGTTAGCCTAAGGTTCGGTTCAGACAGGATTAGTTCTACATGGACAGGCAGAGTAATGTAATTTTAACACAGAATGTTTTATGTTAACGACTGGTTCACACAGGGTAAGAAAACTCAGTATAGGTTACAGAGATGAAACAGGCTAATCATTTGCACACCAAAAATGCTCCATACACAACACTAACAGCTGCTCACAAGTAGACTAGACTTGGGCCTCTATGTGTTAGGGGTTGCACAGACTGGTTGACCTGTCGACTTTATGACGCTTTAAGCTTGATGTTGACAAGTCACTGATCACGTGATTGACAAAAACAACATGGATGCCTCAGAGAAGACAGCAGGTGAGGAGCCTGGTGATTTTGGGGGCTGTATGTCCAGTTGGAATGGGTGTGTCACACTCAACTGACCTGTGGAGTTTGGCTTCATTCTAACATTTCTCTGCTGATCTACAGAGCTTCAAAGATCAGATATTGAATGTATGAAGCTGTCACTGGGGCAGTTCCCCTCTTGTCACTGATGTGGAACACTCATCTCAGTACCTTTAGTCAGGGAACTTTATTGTACCGTAATCCATTGAAAATATATTTTCTAAGCTGTACTGACTCCACACACCCCGTCTCGTCTCCAGGCTTTTTATTTTATTGTTCTGTTTTAAAACATAAGGTTACGAAAATGTAAAAATATGTACTTTTCACCTGGAAAGAAACATATTTAAGGTTCACAGTTGGACCTTAAAAACACTGTTGTACCTTTGAGGGAACATTTACATTGTTTGTACCTTTATGAACGCAAAATGTACCTGCACAGAGCCTTTATTTCTAACAGTGTACAATAAAATGTCCCGTGTGGTTGGAGAGGGGGCATAACACCCTGTAATCCTGTAAATAAATCATTTACTCTTAATTTCGCAGAGTTATGGCATTCTAAATTTCTCTGGCTCTCCAGACCTCCACCATGGATGAGCATCTTGGCAAGGCCATCTAGGGCGTGCCCGAGTTAAATTTATAACATTTTGGGGTCTGTATCTCAGGTTCCCTGAAGGCTAGCAATGCGATCCAGGGCTCATTGGAAAGGACACATCTCACTCTACTGACCTTCATCACATAAGTTGGAATTAAAGTCACTTGTTGCAAAGCATTCCCTTCTCCTGTGGTTTTATAAATGATACCATCAGCGTTTAGTCAACATCAACTTGACTTTCATCACATAACTGTCGACTTTAAAAAGTGAGGTCATTCAAAAGCTACGGTATGCATGTGAATGCAGCTGTTGACTCAGTGAGATGGATATGTGACCTGAATTTCTTGTTTAGTGATCCAGATCTAAGGTCAGCCGTCCAAAGTCAAACACAACACAGTCTACTGCAAAGCAAACCCAAACAGAGTGTAAACACAACTAAGTTCAGGCAGTCGGGCAAACAGACAGAAACAGAGCAGGAATACCATATACAGGCAGAATGTCTGGTACAAATTAGATACAAATTAAACAGCAATTAAACTTTCCCAGAAGTGAATTAGCAGTAGTGCAGTAGGAGTAGGGCTGCTATCATTATGCCTATCAGCGAATATATCACCGACCGCTCTTAAGAAATTTCTTTTTAAAACCCACTTATGCAGTTTTCACGAAGATTCTTACATTCATCAATGTTTTCTTAAGTGGGATAAAAACACAGCGCTGCTGTGTCTGATTCACTCAGACCAGCGCAACACACACTAACACACCACCACCACATCAGTGTTACTGCAGTGCTGAGAATGATCCACCACCCAAACAGTACCTGCTCTGTGAGGGTCCATGGGGGTCCTGACCACTGAAGAACAGGGTAAAAGGGGGCTAACAAAGTATGCAGAGAAACAGGTGGACTACAGTCTGTAACTGTAGAACTACAAAGTGCACCTATATAGTAAGTGGAGCTGATAAAATGGACAATGAGTGTAGAAACAAGGAGGTGGTCATAATGTTATGCCTGATCAGTGTATATTATTTTGGAAATTATATCTTATCTTAAGTGAGGAAACTGTTGTATCTGTCAGGGGCGTCATGAAACCAACATTCTGAGGGGGCATGGGGGTCCTTCCCCAGAAAAAAAGAGAAATATAAGGACAATTATCTGCAGTTTGAGATATATGAATTTGAGGAAGCTGGCAAATAAAAATCTGACTTCAGCTCTGTGAAAGAAAGTGCTAATCAATTGTGAATATCTATATGGATTAAGGAATGCTGCAACTTACCAACATTGCTAGCTATGCTTTAGTCTAGTTCCAGTAACAGCTCAGTTTAGACTACAAGCTCAATAACTGCCTAATATTAGTTATTGTATGGCTTTGACTTTTCATACCAGACTGTAACTAGCCCAGGAAAGTTCACTGTTAGCTGGCTTATTGATGACAGAGTAGCATGTTACATAACTAAGAAATCAACAGGCACATTTGGTGGTGAAAAGCTCAGAAGTAAGGCTGTAAAGGCCGTGTTCTCATATGAATCTCCAACATTGCAATCAAACAGCTTCAGCACCGACATCTTTTCCTCATAATGGGCCTCCTTCACCAACCCTTTTTAAGAAAACATTTCTTCTTAATCACCAACAATTTTGACAAAGATTCTGATTTTCTTATTTGGGATTTGTTCTTAGGTAAGAACAGAATCTACACACACTAAGAGCACAAAGGTGAGAACACAACATGAATCTGACATAGACTTTTTCTTTAAGACCTTTCTCAAGAACACTGTCTGTCAGCACCAACACATGCAGCTGCCATCTTCATGTCTTAAAATAAATATTAATAAATATTCATAAATTTAAACAACCAATTATAAATCGGCTTTTCACCACTGCTTTCCCAAAAACTTGTCCTCAGCATGCTGGAGAAGCATTTGGTGTTCCATTCGACAAACAC